CGTTTGCGAGTTTCTATTCAGGAGCGGGCGTGAAGTAACTCCTTCCCTGCCGCCATGCTCGTTCCTTTCAAACCCGCCATCACCGCGCAACACTATCTCCTACTAACTCCTTTTCTACTTTCTCTTTGTCCCTTCCGTCTTCAGATTCGGGGTCGCAGGTCCCGAAACCCTCCGTTTAGGATCTTCCCTCGCCCGAATTTACTAAGAATCGGGCGAGATACCACCCTTTCTATCCGCCATGACCACTGCCTCCGTCCGTTGCCTTCCCTCTTGCTCCGCGTGTACCCCGTACAGCTTCTTGTCCAGGTTCGTCGCCCTCTTCTCTCACTTCATTCTCCAGTCTTTCCTCTACTCTGCGCTAACCCAGACACCGCAATGGCGCCAATCAGCTAGATGGCCACTATGGAAATCGAACTCTTACTAACAGATGCATACCAGCTTACCTGCCGAATCCTTCGACTCAACGTCGCAACACTCAGTCCCACAGTTATGTAGCGACACTGCCCAATAGCTCGAACTATCCCGGGGAAAACTTCAGAGAGAGCCGGTTACTGGACAGGTCGATTAGTCCCTCGCCCTATGTTGATGTCCAACGATCGATCCACCTGCAGCTACAACGTGACAACTCTTCTCCAAACCCCCGCTACTCCCTATGGATTATCACAGCCCCCGATAGCGTAGCCGCTAACTGACTAGACTTTCATCTCGGTTTCTTACCAGTATCTGGCACCGATCAGCGCCAGATTCATCTCCTGATTTTTAGGGCATCACCCTCACGCAGACGTCAGTCTGTATCGTTTCAATCCCCGTGTGTCTATCAAGCTCTAAGCAACCTTGGGTACTCAAATGATCAGGTTCTACCCTCTGGGTCCTGGACTTTCCAAGGGAGAACTAAATAAAAATAAATAATAAAGATAAGGGTAGCGAAAACGGCGCAGGCCGGGGGCGAGGGGCGGAACCTCCCAGTACTTTCCTGGCCCTGTCGAACGGGCCCACAACCAGACTCCTTCAACAAAACTAAGGGGGATAGTCCCACGGGACCCTCAACCCCTCAGCCCCTTCGATGCTCCGCCGCTCCCATGCTGCCGCCTGCTGGCCTCGAACCCCGTACTTCCATTCCGTGAACTCAATGTCGTAACCTATAGGGCTAATCCCAAGCCTGAGACCAGCCTGCGCAGGACTTCATATAAACTGGTGCCGAATAACGCACGGACTGCTCAAGCGCCCGTGGGCCACACTTCAGCTAGTATCCGCCCCTACAGCCGCTAGGTGTCTACGCTGAATAACTTAAGCCACAGTAAAACCACCACAAGCGCCATACTACACACCCAGACCTATCACTGGGTCACCCTTGCGCGCCCACGTCGCGGTCAAATATACCAAAGGACAAATACCACCTTTTTAATCCTAATCTTAATCATTAAGTAAAACACCTAGCCAGCGTCTAATGCCATTGTCTGCAATCATCAATAGGAAAGAAAATCACGCGCGCCTTAAGCTTGCACGCCCACACACTCTCTATTCTAGTCAACCATTCTGCCAACGTAAACCACAGACACAACCGCGACTCGCGCGGTATACTCAAACAGGGCGGATACCCTTGTAAGGGTATTCGCACCGACAGCGGCGTAGACTTTCTCGGAGGGCTTGTGGTCGGGGCGTTGAGAGAGGGCATCCGCAACGCGGTTGCTTTTGTCGGGGGTGTGGCAAATGGTGAATGTGAATTGGGCAAGAAAGTCTAACCAACAGGCTTGGCGCGGCGTGATGTTTTTTTTGGTGAGGATGGAGGAGACGATGGTGTTATCCGTGCGGATGGTGAAGTACTGCCCGTCGAGGTACGGGCGCCAGACTTTGAGGGCGTGGATCACGACGAGGAGTTCCGTCTCGTTGGAGGGGTAGTTCATCTCCGCGGGAAGGAGCTTCTTGCTAGCGAAGGCGATGGGGTACTCGCCGGGTGGAGCCTCGGGGTGGGTGGGGGAATCTTTGATGGAGGGGGTTTCAGAGGTGTCGCGAGGGAAGTGTTGGGATAGGACGGCTCCAAGGGCGAATTCGGATGCGTCAGTGGTAACGTAGAAATGTCGAGAAGGGTCGGCGATCTTGAGGACAGGGGCCGTGGTGATAGTTTGTCTGAGGAGGTCGAAGGCGTTTTGGCGGCGGTCGTTCCAAGTGAAGGGTTCGTCCTTGCGGGTGAGTTCGTGGAGGGGGTACGAGATGTCGGAGAAGTTACGGATAAAGGGGCCGTAGTAGTTGGCAATGAGCGAAGTTGGAGTAGGGTCTTGGGTGGTGGATACTCGATGAGGGCGGTGACCTTCGAGGGGTCCATGCGTATACCTTCAGCGGAAACGATGTGGCCAAGGTATTCAACGCTTGAAGTGGCAAAGGTGCATTTGCTGAACTTGGCGTAGAATTTTTGCTCTCTGAGGATAGAGAGGACTTGGGGCGGAGATGTTGAAGGTGGGACTCGAAGGTGGGCCTATAGACAAGGATATCATCGAGGTAAACGACGGCGCTGACTTTGAGGAGGTCGTGGAAGATGTGGTTCATGGTGGATTGGAATGTGGCGGGGGAGTTGATGAGTCCGAAGGGCATCACGAGGAACTCGTAGTGCCCAAAGCAAGAACGGAATATGGTCTTGTGGGTGTCCTCCTCGCAGATGCGGATCTGGTGGAAGCCACTGCGGAGATCAATTTTGGTAAAATATTTGGCTCCACGGCGACGATCAAGAAGCTCGGAGATCCGAGGTAGGGGGTACTTGTTCTTGATCGTGATCCGATTCAAGGCGCAGAGTTCCAATGTTCCGCCTTTCTTGACGGAAAGGCAGCTTGTGCCGAAGGGGGATGAACTTGGCTTAATGAATCCTTTTTCAAGGAGTTCATTGAGTTGCCGCTTCAGTGCTTTGGCTTTCGGAACGGAGAGTTGGTACGGAGGGCGGCAAGGTGGAGAGTGACCGGGCTCCAAATCGATGGTGTGGGATACGCCACGATCCGAAGGTAATCCAACGGGCAAGGACTCGAGGAAGACCTCCTTGAACTCGTTGAGGATGGAGGTGAGGGAGGGGTCGGAGGGGAGGGCTTGGTCAGGTTTGTCCGTTGGGAGCAAGTCCTCTGGACGCTCGCGATCAAGGACAAGGCAATAGTAGGGGGAGTCAGGGCACGTACGGTCCATGTGAAGGAATTGGTGCGCGGTGACGGAGCTTGGGGAGGGGGGAGAGGGGAGATACGGAATGTCGATGGTTGTGTCAGGGGGGTTGGTAAGGCGGATGAAGTTGGGGCGGAACGAGTATGGCATGTACCGGTATTCCTAAAATGATGTCGCACATTAAGTGCATGACATCGAATGAGACCTGACTGCGGAGGGTTCCGACAGTCATGGTGGTCTTGGGAACGTGCGGTCTACTACGATGGCGGTGTCTTTGTCCCCCAAACGAATCGTAATCGGGGAGTCGTAACCGGCAGAGGTAAGACCGGCTTTCCAAACACACGCCTCGGTGATGAAGTTACCGGTGGCTCCAATGTTGAGGAGGGCCCGAAACTTAGTCGTAGACGCACCAAGGGTGGCGACGATGAATTTGAGATGAAAGCGTGACGAGTTGGCGGTGGAGATAATGGTGTTGAGGCGGCGTTGTTCATTGCCTAATCGGACAATCCGATCGAGTTGGGCTTGTTCCTCAACAACATCAGAGAAGGTGACAGAGGATGGATTCGGAAGGCGGGTTGCAGAGCATGTGGCGGTGAGGGGGGCGTCAGGCGACGAGGGTTGCGACGCTTGGGGTTTGTCCGGTGGGATGTGCGGCACCGGAGAGGGGTAAGGCAGACATATTGTTGATGCCAAATGGGTCCCGGTGGGGTGGGGATCGTCACCGATGGGATGGCCAACAGACTAGTCTTCGATGCCGGGGCGGGTTCGTGGTGATCCTGGGGACGGTGTTCAAGTGGAGGGACCGGGAGTGGCGGATGCGGAAGCGGCGGGTCGGGGAGCCGCGGACCTGGGTGCCTGAGGAGTGAACTGTCCGGCATTTGGACAGTTTGTTTGTTGATATCCTAGTTGTCGGAACCGGAAAGAACCACCCTTTGCTTGGAGGTAGGTTCGCTCCTCCGGCGTGAGTTTTGTGAGACGGGTTGGGTGGGTGTTTATGGGAGGACGGCTGGTGCGTTCTCTCTTTTCCATCCGCATAAGGTGGATGGCAGAGAGTTCTTCGGAGGAGAGCGATGTGGTGTCGAGGGGGTCGAAGAGGGTGTAAGGGTCGGGGGTGGAGAACTCGTCCTAGGAGGCAGAGAGAGAGGTTTCGTCGGTGATGTTATGAAAGAATCATGGGCGGGGTGGGGCGGATGTGAGTGCGTCCTTGTACGGGGTGAGGAATTTGTCTAGGTCGATGGCGCGGTCGAAGAGATCGGAGAGGGACATCGGGGGGTCGTGAACGAGGGAGGCGGCGAGGTCCTTGTGACATCCCCGTTTGAAGCGGGAGATGAATGTGGCATCGTTGACGTAGTCAAGGGGGATGTCTTGCCGCAACGCACGGACGTATTGGACAAAACGGTCGGTCGGACCGTTCTGTCGAAGGCGACAAAGTTGCTCAAAGTAGTCATTGACCCACTGAAGGAAGGAATGGGGTTCCTCGTTTGCGTGTTGGCGGTTAGCTCGTTCGGTGTACCACCAACGAGCGGCGCCTTCCTGTAGCCTGGCGCTGGCAATAGGGAGCCAAGGTGTGACAGGGACGTTGTGGAGGGAGAAGGCATCAGATAGTTTGCTGAGAAAGATGAAGACGTCCTCGGGGGGAAGGCCGGTGAAGGGGGGGATATCTGTTGACCGGAAGGATGGGGGAATGTTACCCGTTAAGGGTGTTGTGGTGGGGAGGGTGTTGAAATCAAGTTTGGGTGAGGAGGATCGTACCCGGGTGAAGTAGGTAGTGGGATTGTTCGGGAGGAGTGTGGACGGAGGAGGTATTGGGATAATGGGGAGCAAGGCTTGAGGTGTGGGGGTGATCTGGGCATGGGTGGAAGTGATAGTGGACGAAGGTCATGAGGGGTTTTGACTGGGAGGGAATGGTTGGTGACTGCGCGACGGCGGGGGTTGTCGTCTTGGTGACCAAGGTGGAGGTAGTGGTGGATGAAGGCGGAGGTGTGGATGACGTGCTAGCGGAGAGGGAGGTGGATGTGGAGAACGGGGTGATTGGTGTGGATGTGGAGGCAGAGGATGGGGAAAGGGTGGTGGCACCCGAGGTGGGGGGGGGGGGATGTGGTGGTGACGACCTGGATGGCGGGGGTGTGACTTTCAATGGTGGTCACACGGGCAGAGATGGTGGAGACGGATGTTTTGATGTCATTCATGGATGACTGGAGAGATGTCATCATGCGGAAAAGAGCCGCGAGGTCAATGGCGACATCGGGTGCTGGTGTTTGCTCGCCTGCAAGGTTGCGGGCGATGTTGTCGACGGCGTCGGAGCAGATGCCGGACATATCAATGCTGGATGATTGGGCCATGGTGGGGGAGGAAGCGGTGGTAGCTGCGGATGAGGTGGCAGCAGCAGCTGCAGCAGCATTAGCAGCGGCAGCAGCAGCGGCGTCAGCGGCTGCGCGTTGAGAGTTTCTGGTTGGACGTGGCATGCCCGGGGGGGAGGGGGGGTTCCTATTTACAAGAGTAGAACGTCATCAATTGATTTAGCAATAAAGGTAATTCCCAAATAAAATTCAGAAAACAAGAATTAATTTGGAATAGATTAATTCAATAAGATTTCCAAAAAAGGGTGATTAATTTCGAATAAAGAGATTAATTCAGTCGTGAATTAATTGAATTTAGTCAAAATTAATTGAGGAATTCAGAATAGCAAAAAAAAAGGAAAGTACTTCCGAATTATATAAAAAAAAGGAATTTCGCAGGAAAATTTTGAAAAAGAATTGCGAAAAGGAATTAATTGATTATGATGTATTTCAAGAAAAATTTCAAAAATGAATGTGAAATACACAAGAAAAAAAATTAATTAAAATTATTTTTGACTTTCGAAAAAGAAATATCAAAAAGGGATTTGATTAATTCGAACGTATTTTCAAAATTGTCGAAAAAGAATGAAGTAAAAGTAGTTGCGAATTTCAAAAAAGAAACGTTGAGAAAGAATTGATTAATCCAAACGAAAAGAATTTAATTAATTCTAAAATTTCGAATTACAAAAATTTCGAAAAACAATTAATTAAAATTATTTTCGTAATTTCTAAAAAAAAATTCGAAAAATAATTAATTAGAAAATTTTTCGAAAAAGAAATGCCAAAAGAAAAAAAATTAATAAATTCTAAAATATTTTCGAATTACAAAAATTTCGAAAAGGAATTAATTAAAATTCTTTTTCGAATTTCAAAGAAATAATGCCGAGAATTAATCCTACGTATTTTTGAAAAAGAAATGTCGAGAAAGATAGTTAATTAAGTATTTTCAAATTTACAAGAATTTCAAATGGATTCTAAAAAATAAAATAGATAAAGGAATAAATGAGTTTTGATGTAAATCGAGGGCGGAGCGATCCTATCTACTATTGATTGGGTGGTAGGGTAGTAGGTAGGGTTAAAATGGGGGGGGCTTGCAAGGGTAGATGCGTGATGATGATGATTATGACGATGATAATGATGATTGGTGATGGTGGGGGGGAG